GCCTCGCGGACCCGCGCCGCGTCCCTGTCGCCCGCGCCCCGGGGGACCGCGGTGGAGACGCCCGCAGCCCGCCCGGCCCCTGCGTCCAGCCTCGGACCTCCGCCCGCAGCAGTCAGAGCAGAAGGAGACCGAGAAGGGAAACCTTCCTGGGTTACTATGCACTTGCGACTGATCCCTTGGTTTTTCATCGTTCTGAACTTTATGGAATACATCGGCAGCCAGAACGCCGCCCGGGGAAGGCGTCAGCGCAGAAGTAAGTGCGGCTGCGTTTCGCGCGTGGCTCCCCCCGTTCACCTGCCGGGTCCCCCGCAAGCCCCGCGTCCCTCTGCGCGGCGGCCGTCCGCCCAGCCTGCGCCCCACGCCCCCCGGCCCTGGGCGTCGGCGTCCCCCTTCCCCGCATCCTGCCGGGGCCGGGTCGGGTGCCCGGGGTGCCTCCCGCCCCCGCGTCACTTTTGGTTCTGGGCAAGTCCGATACTGCGTTAGATTTGCCGTAGGGATGGGGGCTCGCCGGCACCTCGCTGGGCTGCCGCGCTGCCCTCGGGTGGGAAGCGCCCTGGGTGGGCCAGGGATGCGGGGGCAAGCGCCGGCGCTGCGGCCGCCCGCGACACGCGCGAGGGGAGTCTGAGTCTGCGGAGCTCCAACAGCGGTCCGTGCGCACCCGAACTCCGAACTCCGGAGGCGCGGGGATCCCGCTCACTCCCGGCCCGTCACACGTGAGCACCTTGGCCATCTCGGCCCTTCCGAGTGGGTTCCCGAGTCGCGCGCGGGCACGGAGGGTGGAGACCCCGGAGCCTCCCGCTCCTTAGGGCTCTTGGAAAACTGGCTGGTGACAGCTTCCTCCCCAGCGGCCGCAGCCCGAGGCGGGACGTCGGGGCGGTGCCCTGCCCCGCGGGAGGGAACGAAGGCTCTGGCCCCGGCGCGGCGAGACCTTTGAGGACCCGGAGCCCCGCGACCCCGGCGCCGACCTTGGGGCGCGAGGGTGCCGCGGTCGGCTGGGCAGCTCGGAGCGCGGGGCTCCGGGTCCCCTGGGCGGATGCCGGGTCCGGCCCGCAGAGCCCCTCCGGGCAGGAGCAGGACACAACCCGGGCTTGTGTGCCGTGGAAATTGGGTAATCGCTCCCGGCCGCAGTTTGTCTCTGCCCTGCCCCTGGGCGCGAGGGTCCCCTGAAAGCTGCCTTTGTGCCTCCGGCTCAGCCAGACAAGGTCTGATTCACCTGAAAATAGCCCTGAAGCACAGCGGCTGGGTCCGAGCGCCAGGGGCTCCCCGCCTGGAGGCTCGCGGAGCGGGGTGCACAAGGGCGCCCGCTTTATTATTCTTGGCCTCGGGATGGCTTGTCCTCTTCGCGACTCTCCCCGCTGCTCCGGCCCGGGGGAGCGGCCGGGCGCGGGTGCCTGGTGTCGGGGCAGCCCAGCCCCTCCCGGGGCGCGGCCGGCCGGGG